TGAGATTACTAATCTAAGTAAGAGTGGGCCCTAAGTGTTCCAAGCAACAGGATTTCTACCGCTTCCCAGGGTGGATTCTCACACCACTCAATTGAACTCGCTCACTGTCAAGAAGTGTTCCCTTATATTCAGCATAAATCTTCACTTTTCTTAATTATATTATATTATTCCTAGTTATACCTAGTTTCCCCCCTTTCCCCTAATTACATTTATTCTTATTTCTACTCCATCCCATTTTTCCAAGTTCTACCTTAAAAGTTCCTCTCTTTCTTTAGGTCTCAATCCCGCAAACCCTTATGCACAAGCTTAATTTTAAGCATGAGTAGTTAGGTTGAGGTCAATAGGATTCTCCATGTGCTTAAAGAATGTACCCATGTGTTTTCTATGATCAGGGCCTTAGAGTTCATAATTTTCAAACTGTTCTTGCCTGTTATTTACCCTTTCTCACCCACCCTTTGTCCTCACCAAGCTAAACTATCTATTCTGATTTAGATTGTGCAAACTTTACTTATACTGGTGAACAATCGCTCAAATGAGGAGCTCAAAGGACTTCTTGGGTGAGTAAGTGCTTGCCAGTGTATCTAGGAGTTGTACAGTCATCCTCACTCAAACTCTTTAATCTTTCTTCATAAATCAATCTCTAGCCTCCTAATTAATTTTTGTTGCTCTCTGTGAATTCAGCTGGATAAAGCTTACAGACTTTTTACCTTTTCTGTGTTGTGACAAATGAAAATCCTCATGCACAAAGCTAGTGAATGTTTCTGTTTTCACTTAGAGTCACTCAGTGTAAATAAAAAATGCTGGACTTAGTACACCATACCACACAGGAGGACTTTTGTATCAAAACTTTATTTATTAAACAAAAAAATGCACCATTGGAATAACATTTCTATAAAAATGAATATGAGACTGTTCTACAGTGCATTACAAAACCCCCTTTTTCTTCATGTAGTAGTATACAAGATTGTGTGTAGAAACAGTCATTTATTTTTAAATCGTAAGCAAGTTTCCTTTCGCATAGAACAAGATTTACACTTAAATATTGCAGTCACTAGTCTAATTTGGTTAACAATGCTAGAATTTGACAATTTAAAGAAACTGTTTATAGGCTCAAAATGCCATTTTTAGGCCTTTTGTAACAACAAGATTTTTTTTTTTAACTAAGGCTAGTTAAAGCTGTAGTGTAACCCATTTCGACCAGATTAAGGTATCACTAGTAGGCTAACAATTTGTTTGAATTACCTTGCAAAGCCCTTTAAATGAAGAGATAGCACTGTTTTCCTCAATGTTGTAACAATTAATTAACAGCTTATGTCAGTGCTTCACAGTCAACATCTTTTGGGTGACCTCAGTGGCAGACACTAGTGAATATTTAGCAAGAGAGCTTTGCCAGTTACTCTTGAGTATTCTTACAGTTAGGTCTGAATAATGTAGTTTTAAAACACAACACACTGAGACATGGGACACCGCAGCTTTAACAGCCAACTCTAGGTTTCCAACCAGATCTCCCTTTTATCATAAATTAACCAAAAGAAAACACTCTAAATAATAAATTAAATATTACTTATAAAAAGTACACCCTTCCCCCCAACCCTCCCATCCTACACATGGTGACAATTCACAAATGTAGGAATTGCCAGGTATATTTTACAATAATAAAAACAGCAGTTTTCCCTTCTTCTACCAACATTGCTTTCTTGCACTTCAAAATACATGTACAGCATACAGTGAGAGACTCTGCCCTGTGCCACTTTATGAAATATGTACTGTATTGTTATTGTTTCTCTCCAATCAAAAAAGGTCAGAATGAAGATGCTTAAAATGCTGTCTGCTGAGATAAAAAAAGAAGACTGAGCAAATTCAATTTGCAATCAGACAGGACACTTGCTGGCCAACAGAGAGACAAGTCAAACAGATAAGAAAAATAATCTCTGATCACTTTCAGTAGTTTGTGGCTTCGCTAATAATCGTCTTCCTTTATCCAGTTTCCAGTGCTTCCATTTCTGACAGAATACTGAATGCTTTTCATCTTATCCACCCTTTATGTTACTTATTTATACTGCACAATGTGTATGTTCGTGACCTGAAATATTTTTATTTTCCATATTTTTACATGTCTATATAGAGATTCAATAACATTTAACACCTGACCCCGAAAACACATAAGCATGTGCTTAACTTTATTACCATGAGTAGGCTCAGCAGTAAAGTTACACATGTGCATAAGTGTTTGCATAGGATTGCCAGCCCTCCAGGATTGTCCTGGAATCTCCAGAAATCGAAGATTTATCTTTAATTAAAGATTATGTCATGTGATGAAACCTCCAGGAATACATCCAACCAAAATTGGCAACCCTATGTTTGCAAGTTTGAGGCCTAGCCATTTTAAAAAAAATACAGATTTGGCATGCCTATTAAAGGATTCAGTGAAGAGATTTGGCTGTCAAATAACAAGGGATAAGGTGCTGCTGGAAACAGGATCAGAATGTTCTAGTGGAAATAATCATTTCATTATGACGTTGAGTTTTGATGCAGTATCAGACATGATTTTCTAAGATATCACAACTGATGCCTTGGTTCTCAACTGTGTTACTCTAGTTTTTGTTGATTCAATTGTGTTGATTGCAGTGGGCTGCATTAGTGTATAACTGGAGTAACACTGTGGAAATTCAGACTTGAGAATAATATTGCATTTAAGAGAGGACATTTTTATAACACAATATAAAACTCAACAGCTCCCACCAGACTCGATGGCAAAACTCCCATTCACTTCAGTGCTGAGCAGGACAAGGCCTTTTATCAACATAACAGCTCACAAAACCACTCTTACAATAAGGATGTGGGATTAGTAAATTATGATCCTGCTCTTCATGTTAGAAACATTTTTAGGGCAAACTTTGAATTGTACGAATAACTTGGCCATCATATTTCGTCCATTTAAGTTAATGGAGTTTTTCCTTCAGTGGAATCAGAGTGGTGCTATTTATGTTTGTGGTATATTTGTATATTAATGGAGTGGTTTTCAGATTTTATTTGTTAAGCAATACAAAGTTGTGAGACTAACCTGGAAATTGTATGTACAACTGGGGGGCGGGTAACTGGTTTGGAGAAAATGAGTAACAACTCCTGAACTATCGGTAACATTATTTTGAAACTCCAAAACGGTAAATTAGGCCCTTGAGCCTGCAATCTGAATCACCTCGGTGGTCCCCTGTACTCATATGGAGCCACAATGATTTCAGTTTGCAATACTTTGCAATTCATGACTTCTTCTGGTCAGGAATCAGAAATTCCCAAACACCATGGTTTGAGGCAACTTTTGCAGTATTATCCCAGCCCAAACCATGAAGTAATGGAGATTATATGGGAGTACAGCAATTTTTCTGCTAGTTTACCAATGAAAAGGATAAATGGCCTTAGATAAGTGGCTAAATGTTTGGATGGTTTCCTGAATTAACCTTTCACAAAAAAATAGAAATAAAGCCAACCACCACCAGAATAACCTTAACAGCCAAGTTCTCAAGCTAGAGGACTCTCAAACAATGAAGTTCCTGGCAGAATTCCATCTGTGAGGTCTTGCTCAGAAAAATGAATATGATACAAGATGTACAGCTGCAGAATTCTTGACTGCAAACTCCATCTGCTACCTGTAATGGCAGCCCAGGAAACTATTCCCAGGTGTGATTAGCTCGCTACTTCCCCATGGCAACTTTACAAATTCATTACAAGTTGATTTATCTTTCTTTACATTTACAAGGGTGTTTGTGGTAGAGAATGATTCAATATCAATCATTTTTCAATTTAAATATTCTGGACGCTTAGGAATCAAATTTTACATCTGAATTCACTGCAAACACAGCACTATCAAAATATGCCTTTGAAGGTTTTGTGCTGTTACACTCATGTGAGTCTCCCATGTTTGGATGTTTATTTAGAAGGTCAATATCTTTGTTATTGGACAACTAAACTGAAATATAAAGTTAAGTAGCTATTTATTTAACAATCCTACTCAGAGTCTCTGGACTTCCTCAGACCAAGTTTCTGAAGGGCATTATTTGTCCAGAGATCTTTCATTTTTACTGTACACCCAAGTTTATTTTCATTTAGCTTGATGTAAGTCACAGGGCTACAGCTTCTTTTTTAGCCATCAAGTGAAACCTTAAAGGAGTCAGACTTATGTGCTAAACCTATACACTGTATAAACTGGATTCTCAAGAGGAACAAATGGAGGTAATCTACCAATGTTCATAGCTTAGTCCTTGTCTAGAGAATTTGGAAAATAGAGAAATGAACAATTAATCCAAAAACTCAGTTACTTTTTTATGTGAAATTTTAAACTCAACTTGCAGCAGAAGCAGCTTACTAACTAGAATGAAAGGTTTTAGCATGTCTTGGTATTATCTAATAGAATGAATCATAGAATCATAGAATATCAGGGTTGGAGGGGACCTCAGGAGGTCATCTAGTCCAACCCCCTGCTCAAAGCAGGACCAATCCCCAACTACATCATCCCAACCAGGGCTTTGTCAAGCCTGACCTTAAAAACCTCTAAGGAAGGAGATTCCACCACCTCCCTAGGTAACCCATTCCAGTGCTTCACCACCCTCCTAGTGAAAAAGTTTTTCCTAATATCCAACCTAAACCTCCCCAACTGCAACTTGAGACCATTACTCCTTGTTCTGTCATCAGGTACCACTGAGAACAGTCTAGATCCATCCTCTTTGGAATCCCCTTTCAGGTAGTTGAAAGCAGCTATCAAATCCCCCCTCATTCTTCTCTTCTGCAGACTAAACAATCCCAGTTCCCTCAGCCTCTCCTCATAAGTCATGTGCTCCAGCCACCTAATCATTTTTGTTGCCCTCCGCTGGACTCTTTCCAGTTTTTCCACATCCTTCTTGTAGTGTGGGGCCCAAAACTGGACACAGTACTCCAGATGAGGCCTCACCAATGTCGAATAGAGGGGAATGATCACGTCCCTCGATCTGCTGGCAATGCCCCTACTTATACAGCCCAAAATGCCATTAGCCTTCTTGGCAACAAGGGCACACTGAGCTGTTCTTTCCCATAGTTTATTTATAGAATAGAGAACACAGGAATTTATTTTAGCTTAGATTTTGTCCCCAGTCCTGCAAAGCTGTATTGACTTAGATGACACAACTCACTTCTATAAAGTTAAACACAAGTGTTTGAAGGACTGACATCTATATTAGGACACAGCTACGGCTGCAAATGCCTGCAAACTAGGGATGACTGAATTACTATGTAAAATTTAAGAATCTCCTCTTCCTGAAGACTCACAGATATCTAAAACCAAACTTGTTCCGGATCTTCTTCAGGTTCTGAAATTTTGCATTTCTTTTTTCATTTCCTGTTTCTGGCTGAGTATAGAGATGGAAATGCTTTAGAATTCACAAGAAAGGCTGTCCTCAAGAGAAATCCAGACCAATTTTGCAGACATACAAGGGTCTAACATTTAAATCAGTGGGAGTTGCATTCACAAAATGGATATGATAATCAATGCCACAGAACAGCCAACACAATAACCAATGTTCAAATAAGATCTGAATATTTGGTTGCTTATCGAAACAAAATCCAGTTGTCAAATCTTTTGAGGTTTATCCATCACATATTTTAGATAATTTTGTACCAGTTTGGGGTTAATGTTCTATGATTAAAAGCCCCTCGTTAAAGTCCTATGAGTCAGATCCTGTTTTCCAGAGTAACTCAGCCTTACTCCAGGATAAGAGAGTGCAAAATTTGGCCCTATGGACCTATTTCAAAATAACTGACAATCTCTGCTAGCAGGGAAGAGGCTCTTTTTCAGAAAGGTGTATTCAAACCTGCCTTGCAGAAACAAGATAGTAGGCTGGGACATCATGGGATCCAATACCAGGACTATGAATTTGGTTGTCATCATGACAGATTTGCTTGCTTTGTTTTCAGTGGAAGTTCTTAGTTACAAATCTGACAGAACATAAAAACTCAACCTCTCACACAGATATGACTTCCTTAACTCTTAGGAAATATCTGACTGAAATCCTAGTCAATTGAATAAAAATACATTTTGGTAAGAAACATTTTCACAAACATACTAGAGTTCCTAATGAAGCATTTGAATTCCATCCTTTGCATCTGATTTCCTCCCCAATACATGACCGTAGAAAATAATCTGAATTATTACTTCTGTTACAGTGCCATTTTACTCAAAATATTTTATTCAGGGATTCACATATAATTACCCACCTAATAAAAGGAACTATTAGGTTGTAAAGATCCCAGCCCTTCCGTGCTCTTTTAAAATTATGACCTACTCAAGCTTGAAATCAAAGGCAGAACTGAATGGAGTAATTCATCTGAAACTCTCTTATTGGGTTTTGCAGCCGCCTAACTGATAAATATGCAAATTAGTTCCCTTTTGGTGATTCAGCTGCATAAACAGGGATTAACTCTGAATGCAGCTGAAAATTCAGCAATAAAAAGTATGCTCACAAAATTTAGTCAATTCAAACAGTTATAGTTATCAATAAACACTGTAATATGAAGCTAGACTACTAGAAAAGGGGGGAGAACACTGAAAGGGTTCCTCTAAGTTCACATCAGTGTCCTGATGCTAAATTGTGGTTGGTTGGTTGGCTGTTTTTTAACTATGACTGAACAAGGAATATCCTACTGCAATCAAGCACCTGTAATTTGTTTCCCAATTATGCACCAGCTTCTTAGTTCATTTTCTTGAATCTGTTGCTTGTCTGTAAAAACTGTGCTGTGTCCATCACTGCTAACCGATACGTCCCATCTTCCACTGTGCCTGACCTAGGGTTGCTTTCCAATTTCCGCAGCTTCCACTGAGTTAAGGAGAAGCCATTGGTGACTGAATCACAGAGTTCATGGAACTGAGGAGTCTCAAACAAGAGGTGGAGCAGTAGAGAAAGGGTGGGAGGAACTTCACCCATTTGCCTCTTGCTGCTGCGAAAGGTGGCCTTGGAGGAGCTTTCAGATGTCATCCCAGTGCAGTATGGCACAAAGGCCACCCATATTTAGAAGTGTTCTAGTCCAAGCTTAAGCACATCATTACTGTGTGTCAGAGAAGATTGCATATCATACCCTCTTTTTGTAAGTCTACGGCAGCTGGCAGCATGCCACCAATGCAGATTTTGTTTATGTTCCCATTCTCTGTAGCCAGATATAAAATGTTACCTATGGGAGGATTTCCAAATGCTTGCAAAAATGGGTGGACTTTCCAGCAACTCGCTAATGCACACTGCTTGCGCAGGATGAGTGATTGAAATTACAAAAGAAATGGGAGTTATTTGTCTTGTTTTGTGCTGTTGGTAACACTTCCAATCCTTTGGTGCTATGTCGTGATTATTTGTTACGGGTGCTTTCATATCAAAAAAGTATATAAAAAACAAAAACAAAAAACACGAAGAGTGAACTTCCACACTGACACATTATGGCATGGTATATGTTTAAAAATACATTTGAATGACATAAAACTAGATTTTCACCAAGAACTACACACCTCTATTAAGTAAACTGTGAGATAGTCATGACACCTCAAGTATTACAAAGGCGAGCAGATCAAAATGAGCAATCAAGTGGCATCACCTCGGGCTTTGCTGTCGTTGTTTCACTTATTTGCAAGGGTCACACTTTCATTGCTTTAGATGCTTGATCTACAGTAATGTAGCGTATTTTTAGTTATTTATTTTTAGGACTCATCAAGAATCTTCCTTACGTTGAAGGAATGGTACTGAAGAAAGGGTGGTTTTATGGGGTTGTGTATGTGTGTGGTGTATATGAAGTACTTGTATGCTGCAATGTTCCTGGATAATACAATTTATCTATTCATCAACAGCTGTTAGAAGGCCGAGCCTGTAATAGCATTAAGTTGCTTCATTAGCCCCTCCAAACTGGCCATTTGTTCACTCAGATCATCCTGTTCATATACCTGCAAAAAACCCAAATCAATAGTCAATGTGAGCTATAGCCAAAAGTCTGTTTTAAAGGACACAGAAATGACAAGCAGGGGTAGAGCCACTTGAAACAACACATTAAAACAGTTGTTCTCAGATTCATCACTTCGCTCAACTGAGACCCAGTCACCTCCTTGCTTCTCTTCCACTGCAGTCAGCAACCTCCTCTCCTATATATCTAGTTGGCGAACTCAAGGACCAAAATCTGTGATGAGTCCTAGAGTTCCAGTATATGCCTTCCCACCAGCAATGTTGCTTGCAATACTCCAAATCTTGGATTATTGCAGAATGGCATAAGACTGACTGAATGAATGGCAATGCAGCCATGGTGCACTGGGATGTACTACAGAGGCTGCTCCTGGAGTTCATAATGAAGGGCCTGATTCTGCAAGGAGCTGAGCGCTCCCAACTCCCATTATAGCCAGAGAGTCTTAACTCTTACCATTGCTGTTAATGGGATTTGAGGGCACTCAGCGCCTTGCAGGAGGTGTTCAGTATTAGGGTCTGTGACGGAAGTTTGTGTGTGTGTGGGGGGGGAGGTACAGAGGACAGCCAACTAAGTATCTGTCATGAAACCTTAAATGACTGGCAAATGTACCTATCATTGGGAACCACTGACCTCAAAAGTTATTGAGACAAGAGTAAAATGAATGATTCTCTGCTTTGGATTCATGGAGACAGAACTCAAACACTAGTTATTTATGTGGACTTTTCAAAGTAAATGATTTGAAAGCACTGTGGGAAATCTGCAGCCTAAAGGTCTGGACAGAGTTAAGAATCCAATAGCATAATCGTGCCTCTGCAGAAATAAACTTTAAAAACTCCCACAATTCACCCCTCCGCCCCCAAAACTCTGACTACCTGAAGAGCCTATTAACTCCTGTGCCATTATTTCCTATAAGTGCTCACACACTTGCTGAGTTTGAAAAGTGTCCCTCTTGGGAAATAAATTGCGCTGCTGTTCTAAGATATTTAGAGCCGAAATAGCATTTCATGTTATCAAATGTTCTGTGCTAAATTACTCTTTATGTCGGTAATTTTACCAAAGAAGTCATTTTCATTTCTCTCCCCCCAATACAAGACTCCATGTCCCTTATCTCCTCTATGCGGTAGAGCCAGTAGGACTTGGAAGAAGTTCAAAGAAATAGGCTGCAGTAATCCACAGGACTGCTCTGTGACCACATTGTTCAGTAATGGATTTTACCCACTGGTGCGCTGGCTCAGCACTACACTTCATTCCAAGCACTAGTGGTTTCAGTCCCACTGCTGTTGTAGGGTTAGACTCTAAATCATGGAATCATGTTACACTTGTTGAGTGAAGGTCCAGGTGATTGCCAGAATCAGGGGGGGGGGAACACAGCCAGTGGAGTAAATGCCACTTTGAAAAGTAACTTCTTTAGTTAGACGAGGATATTTATCTTATCTGCTTTGGAAAGAGCTTTGAGATCTGTGGATAAAAGCACCAGGGCATCAATCCTGCAACTAGATATGCATTTATAGGAGTCAGTGCTAAGCATTATCATCATTACAAAGAGCCACTGGTAGCATAAGCATCACTAGAAAAAAAGCTACTGGGTTAGGAAAGGGTCAGGTAATAAAAACCTCTTTTTTGGAGATGGCTCCACACTTTGACCGCCTTTACTCTAACATAACGTGAGAAGAATTCTCTCATAACAACACAATAGCGCATTGCTTATGATACTACTAACAATAAAAGGGAACATAATTTAACTGTCCTACATTTATATGGGCAGCAGACCAAAAATCTCTCTGTGCATGTCAAAAACAGATTTCTTGCTTTTTCCCTTCCCCAAGGTTTCAAACATAAGAGGATTAGGTAACAAGATGCCAGATGAACCTGTCTCGTGATGCATAGTAAGCCACTCTCACATGCTAGGAAATGAAAATAGATTGTACATAACAGTCTGTCTCCCTTATTTTTTTCTTCCTTTTTATTTAGTTTCTTTTGCTCTTTCTCCACCTTTCGTAAAGTACTGTGTCTAGGACTCTTAATAGGAGTTAATGGGATTGTTCTACATTTTCTGATTAGTTTTTCATACATCTTTTCCTTCTGATCCTTTCTTTTCATCTTACCTATCCCTTTCACATTATTTTTTTCTCTCCATTGTCTGGTATTACTTTATAATCTTTTATTCCTTAACTTATTTTTTTCTGACATCAGTTTTCTCATTCATTCTCTCTTCCATCGGTCTCTTTCTCCTTCTGGATCCTATGCTTGACAACTAGAATTGTTTTGATCTCTCAATAGGTACAAAAGAGATCATGTAAATACCAATATGAATTATATGTGCACAGAACACAGGTTATCTGTCTATCTGTATCAGACACAGGCCCAGATCCAAATGCCACTGAAGTCAACAGAAAGAATCTTACTCATGCTAGCAGGCTTTGGATGAGACCTGTTGTTCCTTAACTGCTACTCACTGGTATAACCTAATACATCAAGTAGGCAGAGATGAAGCTGTTCAACTAAAGTGGTTGGACAGAATATGATTTACAGCTATGACCTTGCACTTAAAGTTAATACGGTTTGCGATGAGACTCTTTTTTTTTTAAGATTGTTCTTACGTTAGCTGGATCCTCTGTCTGTTTGTGGCCCTCTTCTGACACTTCTGGGGCTGTTGGCACCGAGACTGGAAGCAGAGGGGATCGTGCTTTTCCAGCTAATCCAAGTGATGCTGTTTTAACCTGAGCCTTGGGAAGATTAGGCCCTGAAAGAGGAAACAAATCACAATAATAATGTATGAATAATACATATAGGGGAAAATGAGATTTAAGCCTTCTGTGCAAAATGCACTTGATTTAACGGGTTATAATTGGTTTTAAATTTTCAATCCTAAATACAGATTATCTTTTCCAAATGTTCTTATACTGCTTCTTCCTGAAGGGAAGCCAGTGCCGATTGGAACGCTCTTGTTGAAACTTTGTCAATTAGATTTCACTGTGAGCAAGCTCTAAATCCTCTTGCTGCCACATTCAGACAGTCAAGTATTTTGGGATGTCTTTGTAACTCAGATGGCAGCCGTTTTTGCCACTAGGCCAGACCATGGTGGGCTCATCTCCCAAAATCGGACTTAAAAACTGCCCAGTACTAACACTTCAGTACTTGCGGGTGGTGGGAGAAGTAATGGTTGCTACACTTGCCACTCGTCTAATGAGACATCGTGATGAGGTCCCCGGTGGTTTTTCTGGTGGAAATTAAAGGTCCTCTCGCATGTTTTATCTTTTAAAACAACAGGTAATAAAACCACTGTCCTGGTCAATGTGTCCTCTCAAAATACAATAGCTTCTAATGCTCATGGCTATGTGGAAGCTATTGCTGGTAACATAATGGCTGGCTACTGCAAAGAGTATACGACTCTGATTTTAAAGACACTGGAATGGTTTGAAAATGAAACAAAATGTATAGTGTTCATTAAAGAAATGGGCACATATCAAAGACTCATACTATTAGAGGTGAGGTTTTCAAAAGTGCTCAGCATTGGCCTAACTCTGCTCCCACTGAAGTCACTGGTAAAAATCCCACACTACCAGTTGTGTAAAGTCAACTCAATCCATTGCATCTACTTTATCCCTTCTCTTGAATCGGATTCTCTTCCACTCAACCACTGCAATGCATGTTTGTTCCCTATGGTACCTTTTAGGTTGATATGCCCAGGTTATCAGCACTCTCCAGATTGAAATTTGTTATGCAGAGTACATTGCTTGCTAGGGTTGTGGACTCTCTCAAAGCATGGCTGCTATCAGTTATCAGGAGATCGCTGCTAACACAGATGATCCCGTTAGGGATAATGCTACATTTTCTGCACTGTGCAAGACATTTTTTTATTCGGTTCGTCACCCTGGGAATCGAGACCAAAACAATATATGAATGAATGAGCCTGGCCCTCCAGCCTCCGCTCCTTATCTCCCATAATTTTACTAGGAGCAAGGCATTTAAGATTGCTGTGCTTTTGTCTAGCCATGTGTAAAATGGGTATAATAATAATTACCTACCTCACATAGGTGAATTATATCTAGATATGGTCTTAAAACCACTACCATCTCTGCAGTATTGGAGTCATGTTAGGCTTAATTAATGAATGTTTGTAAAGTGCTATAAGATCATTGTATTAAAAATGCTAGGAGAAGGGGCAAGATGGCATTATATAATATTTTCTATGTCTATTACTACATCAGTTTGCTCTCCCTCCTCCATGTATAGACTAAATCATTGGGAGTAAGGTGCCTAAATACTTTTGAGGGTCTGGGTTTACCTTACCAGATTGGATTACTATGCCATCCAGTCTGATATCCTACCTCTAATAGTGGCCTACGTGTGATGCTTCAGAGGAACATGAACATCCCTCCTGGCCAAATAATACAGCAATAATACCCTCTTCCTGATGTCCTGACCCTGGTGGGAAATATCTGATGCCCTGAAGCATGAGAACTGATTATCCCATCTTAACAAGCAAATATCAGTTTTGGTCATACAAATTATCCCGCCTCTATTTAAATCCAGGCTGTCCTTTCTAAATTATAGGGTTTAACTTTAATCATTCATTGCTCTTGTTCTTCCCCAAATAGGTTCCAACCTGATGAGCTCAGTCATTGTAGATCATTAATAGAGCATGAAAAGTAATTCTCTGGGGCCTTCAGTGGTGCTACCAAGAGGAATAACTCTACTATGGTAGGAAAGGCAGTTGCTGCAGCTGGAGAAGAGAAAGTACTCCCCTACTCCCAATAAATGATTGCTGTCATGACAGTTTTTAGTATTTTTACAGCTCTGGTGAGTAGCCTGGGGACAAAAGCTGCAGATTAATTTTCCTGCATTTCAAAGAATGGTTTTCACATTTTTAATTAGTTTAAAATGTGTATAACAGAGCTAAAACACTCAGGACCCGCAGCAGAGGAAACACAAAAGAGCAAAGAGAGAATGAAATTCCCCCCGCATTAGAGAGCCCCCTAGCACATTAGTTATAAGTACAGTAACTTCCAATAAAGAATTATAAGACAAAGACTAAAAGGAAAAGAGACCCATGTATGTACACTCCCCAAGTGTCAGTCTCTTTGATAATACAAGTTTAACTGAAACAACAACAAAAAAGGAAAGTCAATACTGACTAAAAGAGATCACTAAAAAGATACAAACCCTTTGCTAGCTCCAATTTAATAGCTAAAAATGTTCTTTAATAACTGGCGCTCCAAACTTCCCAGTACTTCAAAGAAAGACTAGAAGACACAGCTATCTCCAACAGATACAATCTCTTAAATGTCGCAAATTCAAGTAAAAATTTTCAGAAAGAAAACGTGTTTAGTTTCCATTTCCTCAGAGAAAAGTGATTTTCAAAGGGGAAGAGGCTTTTTTTTTTTTTTTTTTTTTTTTAAATATTTTTTTAAAAAAGGATTTTTTTTTTTTTTTTTTTTTTTTTGCTATTAAAGGATTTCGGCTGATGTGGAAGTGAATGCATACACTCTCATTTGCATTGATGGAAGCAGTCTTTAAAATTTGTGTCTGACCAAGCCATTTCTGGACCTGGCTGTGGCATCAGAATCCATTTGATATTATAAGAAATCAGTACATGGTGTAAGGCATGCAGAGGAAGAAGACAAAGATCTTAAGATAAAATGAGAAATCATCCAAAACTGAACTTTTAAATTCTATTTACACAAAGAAAAACATTATGAGTCAGAGGACGTACATCGCTGTATGCACATTGATTTAAATGGAATTATGTCCATTTATACCAGCTGAGGATCTGGCGCTATAAATTATGAATACCCTTTTGTTTGTAGTTTCAAAATGCGCTCTGTATTTATCTGTCTGTATGATGCAGCGGGAGCAGAGACCCGAACTGGCTGAGAAGCCTGGATCACCCAAGCCCACAATAGTGGGGGCCTTTCACCTATGGGTCACAGGTGGGAATTTTGCCAATGTTTGTAGTGATCAATGTTCAGTGGTCTACTATATGTGAAACGGTAGAGTGGTTTCAGTCCAGTTGTGAAAGGCTGGGCCTCAACTGAGCAAAGCCCTTCAGCACATACTGAACTTTAAACACATGACTAGTGACGTCAATGTGGCATACACACATTCTGAAAGTACATGCTGAAATGCTTTGGTGAATAAGGACATGGGACTCCATACCACACACCCCACAATTATAGCTACCACTCTTGTTGGAGGTCTCACTGGAGAGACCAATGACTGATTGCAATCACAAAAGTGGTTCCTCTGGGTCCCGGTTGAGGCACAGTTAGGGTGACCAGATGAGAGATGTGAAATCTCGGGACGTGGTGGAGG